TACCTGCAAAAGAAATGACTCTTTCCGTATTCTTCGTTTATGAAAAAGTGTTACTGGTGATATCTTCACGCTTACAGAAACAACTGCTCCCATTTGACTGTTTATGAAGTTCGTAAAAAGCTTCGCTTGTTAAGCGAACCTGAACACAGAATTATCGTGGGATTCTTTTCTTTTCCTAGTAAATTATTAGCGAGAAAGTAGTTTCATCGGGCGCAGTCGTGAAAGAAGTTATAGGGCGAGAAGCTAAGGATTCATTTCACTCGGTGAAAGCTTCTGTTGACAAAAGAAAAGGGAATTATTTCTCGTACAATCCAAGCACCGACGAAGTTCTATTAACATAATTGTTGCGACTTCTTTGAAAAGTGTGCATTTACCTAAAATGTGTCGCAAAAAGTTAACAATAACGAGTACACATACTCGTCAAATATTAAAAATTAAGTTTTAATGAAATGACTATTTTATTTTTTAATTTTATTGCTAACGTTTATTTATTCACGTCACTTAAACGTGTATAGAATATGAAATATGAAAGAAAAAAGGTCATGAAAAATCAATTACTTTGAAAAGTGATTATGTAGTTACATAGTTAAATCTGTTGCTGTAGAATGATACTAAGTGAAGCAAGGTATAATACATAACGGCACTTCCTAAGTCGAACATCCATATGTTGGTTCTAGAACAACTACATACTTTGTTCACGCTATACACAATGTTTTTATAATAATTATCTGTACTTTTTATTTATTTGTTTTATTTGGTCTTGGTCTCCGAATATTCAGAACATTTTGAAATTTATATTTAACACGTTCCGTGCCGGACCATTTTTTTAAGACTTTCCCTTTAGGCCGTATGGAGCGTATACGACCCACATTTTTACAATCAATTAAAATTAAATAATCGCAGTATACATAATATTAAAATACCTATCTTTAACTGTACAATAAATTTTTAAAATGTTCTTCGTTTTTCAATGAGAATTCATTTTCGGTCTGAACGGAAAATTCAGCGTGGGTCGTATACGCCCCACGCGGCACGAAACGTGTTAATATATTTTAGTTTTCACTGAAATATAAATTGCAAATTATAACTACTTTTTATTGGTGACAAGTATACTTGTCAGAAACAGCTAACTGGTTAACACGTTACCGACCAGTATCGCTACCTTTGCCCAGTACCAGGTAGTGTCTGTCGAACGGGTACAAAAAAAGTACAATGAAACTCCGAGAATTCTGGTGATTGGCTATAAGCTCTAAAACATAAAACCCGAGAATCCCCTTGACCCGTCCGCAATATATTAAAATCTGAATTTTCATGATCGGCGAATATTTCCATCGTCGAGTGACTCGAAAATATGATTTCTCGCACGGTCTAAGGATTTACAAAGTTTCTTCCGTATTTGAAGTTTCGTTTCCAGCAAATATTTTTCTTGCTGTCGAGCGACTCCTCACGATCGGTTTTCGGCATTGGCCAAGTGGACGAAAGTACATACTTTACCGCTCATATATTATTCAAACGTCTCCAGCGGACATGCGATTACTCATGCCGCAAGTATTCCGTGCGATATTCTAAACGGTTAAAGATAAATCGCGTGTTTCGTCGCCACGGGTGTTACGCGAAACAGTAGTAGAGTCGCCCTAACCCACATTCAAGCATTTTGGTAATAATTCGATATTTATAAAGATATTTAACATTTAATTATCACCATTTCTTTTCTAATGAACCTCTATTTGTCACTATCTTTAAAATATTTTATTCTTTATTGAAACAGAAGGACAAAACAATATTGATCCTAGACACATTTTAACTTTTGGCACAGTAAAGTACATATTTAAGCATCTCTTGAAATTGTGATAATTAAATGTTAATTATCTTCATAAGTACCGAGTTTTTACAAAAATGGCCAAATACGGATCGGCATATTTTTGCTCTAAATTCGTTGAAAAAAAAAGGTTTTACCGAAATGGATGATTCACTCACTGTAATCGTCTTATTGTTAGTCGGCTGCATCCGTTCTCAGCGATTTCTTGCATTATTCATGTGTTAACAATGGAAAATGTACGTCACCGGCGTGACGGCAACACGACACAGGAAAAAGCAATAATCGAGGCACCGTGATTCGCAGCAATCAAATACGTGATCGATTACACGTGTAAGTATACAGGTATTTATTTCGACTTTTTTTCCCTGAACAGAAGTTTCTCAGAGCCGCTCGTCCTTTGAATACGAATCAGGAAAGCGTTTATAATCGTTATCTTCAGTTTTCCAGAAGGGAAATAAAATTTGTAACTTCGAATATTTTAATTTAAAATTTTCAGCTTTAACTTATTATATTGTTGCGCTAGGTGGGTCCAGGGGTTCTCACCCGCGACATAATTATCTACTCAACGTTCTTTTTGCAGTTCTATTTACAATTCTTTACAAATGTTGTACAATATAGTCTTTGGTTCGATACGTCTTTTCTTGTTCACGTTCGCTCGAAGACTGCTCGCTTGTCTTCGTTTACTCTGACCAACTCCTTAGCGACCAGTTTATTTCAACCGCTTTCAGGTCCTAAGGGTTGGTTCAGCCGTGCGTGCTGGAGGGACGAGTTCGATACATCGGAACCTCGTCAGTTCGATGTATCGCAGCAATATAGTAAATTTACAGCTGCTTTTTTGCGTTTGATTATTTGAATCTGAATAAGGACACATCAAGTATTCTCATATTTTGAAAATGTACATGGTCAAAACGATGATTACTGTGAAGCAGGAGTTACGATTAATATCTTTGAATGTATTTGAAAAAGTGAGGGTCTAGGTAAACATCTAATTACATCATGCAATAGA